CCTTTAGAAGTTGTCCTCAGTATTTATTATCAGCAATGCTTTAAATGTCATTGTCTTAGAGTACTGAGTGTCAAAGTTTTGATTTTTGGTATTTGCATGTTTTTATGATTCATGGGACTGTATCTTGAGCGAAGTTTAACCCTTTTTTGCTTTCTTCTTCATCGCTTTCCCACACCTCTGAAAAATTAGTTGAGAGATCTCACAGAACTTAACTAAATTATAAGCTGCACCTTACATCATGGTTTCGCCGTTTAAAGTTGATGTAGTATGTCAGAGCAAGTATAGTGGCACCAGTTACCGTCTGACCATGATGTAGATAAGTTTAACTTGAGTCATTAGCCTAAACTTTAGCTGAAGACTTACAATAATAAGTTGCATTTCCTCATTTTTAATAAGGAGATAGTCAGCTTTAATCAATAAAGACATGGAATCGTTTGTAGGATAAATTTCGCTATTAACATGTGCCATTTCATACTTTCGCGGCTTATGAAATGATCCATTCACTGAAATAAAGGCTCCTTATGCAAAAGAATTTGGGGTGAACCTAAAGAATTTAGAAAGAATTTTGATAACAAAAAGATATACCGAGTAAAGAATATGTATGCTTCGCGATAGAAAAACAGCCTTCAGTGTTTTGAACCAGAGCAGCTTGTCGAACACATTCAGCAAGATCAAATTCGCATTTTACGAGGTCGTGCTTTTGCAAGCATAAATTTGCCATCAAAGAACAAGATTTTATCGTTACTAAAAAGGTCATTCAAACAGAATGTAGAGAAACTTTGTTAGGTCGGTCTCTGAAATTTCTAGAAAAAGTAAGATCTAAAATTGTTTGTTTTTGAATTGCTTAATTAAGGAACTTATTCCGAAATCTTGTGTACTACATGGTGGACGCACTCACGCATCACTTGCGGGCATTCCTCATAGAGAATTTGAAAATTTCTGCGTACTCCATTGATGGCAGGAAAGATTTTCACAAAGTCAGGAGGCTCTACGAATATCATTTTTTCCAGGTAAGAGAAAAACACCGTGAATAACATGCAACATTCGTTCACCTATGTACGAAGCTGCATCATGGTATGCTTGTTGTCCATGAAGTTGAACGACGCGACATTTCCACTTGGTGGCCTCGCAATCATCTGGTTCAGTAGCATTCTAAAACTTCAAAGTTTGCCGTAGGCGCACAAAGATTTTAGAACCAAGGTTTCACTTCTACCCGAGATTTGCTTATTGCATAGGATGCTTTGCGTCGCAACTTACAGAACATAAATCCCGGGCGGCTAGCTGAGAACATTGAGCTGTCGCGCTCTGTAGTGACAGTCACAGTGGAGGACGACGCAAAAGGATAAGCCGACATTGCAGATTTGTTGTTCGGCTTCTCTTTGTCGATTTACTTCTCCATTCAATTACAACATCTTAGAATATTGGTATATGTTGCTATTTTTAAGCGCCCTATTGATTGGTTCCAAATGTTGTTTCATTAGTTGCGGTATTGCTACTTCGTTCCAAAAGCAGGTCTGATGGAATACAAATTCAATTAGTAGGCAACGGTAATGGGAAAGCGCCGCGCCTTGAGCAGTGTCCGGGAAAACTTGCAACTCAGGGGCCCGCTTTTTCTTAACCACTTCGGTGCGCTGAACATGAACAAACTTCAATTACCGTAAAATTCTTTATAAAAAACTGACTCCGGACTCAGTTTGGATCAACAGGGAGGCAGGGGGAGGGGGGATTTTCAAAATTTCCAACATTTGGTCCCGAAACGATCGCATGGCTTTCTCGTTAAAGAGCATGCTTTGAGAGAAGCCAGACATGAATGGTGCTAAGGAGGAAATCATCGAGTGGGCGGAGTGACCCAAAAGAGGCGAGTTGACTCAAACGTTTGGAGCAATTTTCTCGCCACGGCGAACTATCTGCCTGAAGGAAATGGGTCTTAAGTCAGAAAGTCGGCTATTTTAATTTGGTGGAAACTCAAAATCCTTGTTGCCTGGATACTCCTCTAGGCCTTGCGAGCAGGCTAGAAGCCCGGACACCACCGATCCAGTCTAATCAGATCTAGTCTATCACATGTTGTTTTTGGACTTAAATATGACGCTATCTCTGTGGTGGAAACCGTGAAGCTCATAACATGATTTTTATTGTAA